GAGTTCTCAGTCATGCCTTTCGGATTGACTAATGCCCCGGCAGTGTTCATGGAGCTTATGAACAGTGTGTTCCGACCATACTTGGACCAGTTCGTAGTAGTGTTCATCGATGACATCTTGGTTTATTCACGGACTCAGGAGGAGCATGCTAGACATTTGCAATTGGTTTTGAGTGTGTTGAGAGAGCACAAGCTGTATGCAAAATTGTCCAAGTGTGAATTCTGGTTGAGTGAGGTGACATTCTTAGGACATGTTATCTCTGCCACCGGTATCCAGGTAGACCCCAGCAAGATTTCAGCCATAGTGGACTGGAAGACTCCGCGGAATGTTCGTGAGGTGAGGAGCTTCCTTGGGTTAGCCGGTTACTATCGTCGATTTGTTAAGGGCTTCGCCTCGATCGCTACTCCGTTGAACAAGCTACTGCGGAAGGACATCAAATTTGAGTGGACAGAAGCGTGCCAGCACAGTTTTGATCAACTGAAGGAGTGCCTGACCCAGGCACCAGTCTTGATTCAACCTACTCCTGGCATCGAGTATACCATCTATAGTGACGCATCTCATAGCGGCTTAGGTTGTGTACTAATGCAGTTGACTAAGGTAGTGGCCTACGCATCGAGACAGTTGAAGACTCACGAGGAGAATTACCCGACACATGATTTAGAGTTGGCAGCCGTGGTGTTCGCCTTGAAGATTTGGCGCCACTACATCTTTGGAGAGAGGATTCACATCTTCACCGATCACAAGAGTTTGAGGTACTTACTCACCCAGAAGGAACTGAATCTTAGGCAACGTCGATGGTTGGAGCTAATCAAGGATTACGATTTAGTCATTGAGTATCACCCGGGCAAGGCTAACATTGTGGCCGATGCTTTGAGCAGAAAATCGTTAGCCGAGCTACAGCTTCAGTCTCCGTTAGAGCAGGAGATCCGTACAGCACAGAGAGATGATGAGTTTTGTCAGAAGACTCGAGAGTTAGTTCCTACAGGAAAGAGGCCCGAGTTTGCAATTCGCGATGACGGAGTCTTGTACTATCGTGAACGCCTAGTGGTGCCCTGCGGTGGAGTGAGGGATCGCTTGTTGCGCGAGGCTCACGGAACCGTATACACTATGCACCCGGGTAGTAACAAGATGTATAGGATTTGAAGAAATCCTATTGGTGGCCAGCTATGAAAAAGGAAATCTCCGAGTTCACTACGCGCTGTTTGACTTGTCAGCAAGTCAAGGCTGAGCACCAGGTTCCGACAGGGTTGCTGCACCCTCCTACCATTCCGGAATGGAAGTGGGAAAGGATCACTATGGACTTTGTGATAGGATTGCCACGATCTTCACGAAAGAATGACGCCATCTGGGTCATTGTTGACAGGTTGACAAAGTCCGCTCATTTTCTACCCGTCAGACGTGACTCTTCCTTGGACAAATTGGCAGACTTATACGTTAGAGAGATAGTTCGGTTGCACGGTGCACCACTGTCAATCATACCTGATAGAGATCCCCGGTTCACTTTGATGTTCTGGAGAGGACTTCAGAAGGCTTTTGGCACAGCTTTGAACCTTAGTACGGCATTTCACCCTCAGACCGATGGCCAGTCTGAGAGGGTGATACAGATTGTCGAGGATATGATCCGAGCTTGTGTGATCGACTTTGGAGAAGATTGGGAGCGTTACTTGCCGTTGATGAAGTTTGCATATAATAACAGTTACCAGGCGAGTATTCAGATGGCTCCTTATGAGGCACTCTACGGCAGAAAGTGCCGAAACCCGATTTGTTGGACAGAGCTTAGCGAGCGTAAGCTCGAGGGACCAGATATTGTGCAGGATACCGAGGAGAAGGTTCGTATGATCAGAGACCGACTCCGCGCCGCTTCGGACAGACAGAAATCTTATGCTGACTTGAAGAGACGACACATAGAGTACAATGTTGGTGACATGATATTCTTAAAGGTTTCACCTTGGAAGAAGGTCCTACGGTTGGGGAAGAAAGGGAAGCTTAGCCCTAGATTCATTGGACCCTATCGCATTCTGGAGCGAATAGGGCCTGTTGCTTACAGGCTAGAGTTGCCACCAGAGCTGAACAGGATTCACGGCGTCTTTCATGTCTCCATGCTACGTAGATACCGTTCAGATCCGACTCATGTGTTGCCGACCAATGCTGTAACCCTCGATGAGAGTTTGTCTTACGAAGAAGAACCAGTTAAGATCTTGGCGCGCGAAACTAAAGTACTAAGAAATAAGACGGTACCTTTGGTAAAGGTACTATGGCGTAATCATGCGGTGGAAGAAGCAACCTGGGAGACCGAAGAATCTATGCGAACTCAGTACCCTCATCTCTTCGACGACCAATTACTCAGGTAATTTCGAGGACGAAATTCTTTTTAAGGGGGGGAGAAATGTAACGCCCCGAAATCTGGCCCAAAAGAATTAATTAAATTGTTAGAGCAATTGATTACGAATTGGGCCTAAAAAGGGGTTAAAATTATAATTTGGATTCTAAGCCCAACTTTTATGTCATCTCGTAGGAAATATTTTTGTGATCGCGTCGGTTCAGACGGCTTGCGAATCGGAGTTATGGAGCTCATGTTATGACCATTTAATCAGGTATTTTGGGTCCGAAGCCCAATCCTTTTAGGAATGGGATCATTAAATAAAACCTAAACCTATTATCTTCCGTCCAGATCCGAGAGCCGCACGATCGGCATCCTCATCTTCATCTTCATCTCCACCTTCGTCGCTCTCGATCGCCGCCGTGAGCCAGCCGCCGGTCATCCTCCCTGCCGTTCGACCACGCCGGCGTCGCCCGAGCCAGACGCTGCTCATCGCCGGTCGCCCTTCCCCAGACAATCGCCGCCGCTGCTTCCTTCGCCAGAGGTCCGCCGTCAGTATCAGCGTCGCCGACGACAGTTCACCTCGTCGTGCTGCCGTTCGTCGCCTCCACTGCCAGCGTCGGTCGTCCTCGTCATCGAGCTACAGCGCCGCCAATCGCCGCTGTTTCGCCTTCGCCGGAAGTCCGCCGCTCTTCACCGTCGAGCGCCGCCAGTCGCCTCCAGCCGTCGCCCTTAGCTCAGGTCGGTTTCTTCTTCTTCTTCTTCAGTTTCCTATTTCGGTTTGTCTCTATCCCCTCGATTTTGAACAAGGTAGACCGCCAACAGCTGCCGCTCCGCCACTGTCGCCGGCGTCCGTCACCGTCGCCGCATCCAGCCGCTTCCCCGGATTGATATCGCCGGCAGATTAACCTCCACGCCGGATTGATTGGTCGATTTCGTATTTTGACTCAATTTGACCCGTTCGTTTGATTTCATTGCTTTGTCTTCCGTTCGAGCTATCGATTCGATTTCGGCGTAATCCAGGTCCGTACTATGAAGTTAATAGCGTTTAGAATAGATTTAATGGTTTGGATCGTTATATGTGTTTATGCTATAATTTGGCTAAATTGGTTAATTGAATTAAATTGATTATTTGAATTGAATTGTTGAGGATTGTGAATTGACTGAACAAGTTTGACTTTGACTTGGGTTAGGTCCTGTTTGACTTGGGCTTTCACTGGATATTCTGTTGACGTAGGTTTGACCTAATGGTTAAATCCAAGACTTTATTGAATTAATTAAGTTAATTAATTAATTCTAATCAGTAATTAGGATCAATTGGTTTATTATGTCGAACATAGAAACTGGCCATTGCTCGGGCGGCTGCAGGGCCTGGTCAGTGAGGTTAAGACGTGCGCACGAGGGTCTGTGATCTTGGGTTTGAGGCTATCGCCCGAGGGATCCTACCTCCACCGAATTGAGGCTATCTTCGGTATTACGGATTGAGGCTATCTCCGTCATAGGCAATAAATGTTAAGTGGTCTGACTTTTGTGAAAGTCTAAATTGGTTTGACCGGTGGTCAAAGAGTTAATGAGAAACCCTTAATACCTAAATCGTTTGAAAAGAAAGAAAATAAATTGACGGTTGGTCAACCGTCTAAAGAACCGAATTTAAAGTTGAATTGATTTTTATTAAAAGGATAAACTTATGCACGATCTTAATCATTGAATTATTATGTTTATTCTTGTGCTACAATGGAGTGCCACTTAGCGTCAATGCTGAGTGGATAGCGTTGTTTTCCTTTTTGCTGTCCGTAGGTGATCAGACAGATGAACCTAGAGCCGATCCCAGAGGGCATTGAGGAGGAGATGTACGATGGCGTGGTTGTCTCTTTAATCTGTAGTTATGCTTTATTTAATTAACTTTCATGCTTATTACGTTTTCGGGCAAGATCCCAAGTTGTTTGACTTTAAAAAGGCTTCCGCATTATTTTAAATTACTCCGATGGATTTTTATATGTATTGAAAGAACGTTTGTTTAAAATTGTTTTGAAAATGTTGTATATTCGGATACCAATCTAGAGGCACACCGGTCCGCGGTCTCACGGGTTTGGGTTACGCGGGTTGGGGTGTTACATCCCCTTTTGACATGCATCACAAATTAGATTCTTCTCAAACTTAAGTTTAGGAACACCAATTACTATGTTTTTAGAAACCAGCTTATTAAGATGGTCCATATTAACGTGAGATATCCGACGATGCCATAGCCACGTTTCTTCCTCTTTGGTAATGAGACACTTAGCTAAAGTAGACGGGGAATTTTCAAGATCAAACATGTAAATGTTATCTACTCTACTACCACAAAAAATAGTCTTATTGTCACACAAGCGTTCTACAATGCATTTTCTAGAATCAAAGATGACACGGTTACCTCTATCGCACAATTGGCTAATGCTAAGAAGATTGTGCTTGAGGCCCTCAAAAAGAAGAACGTTCTCAACGGTTGTAGCATTGTCCTTTCCGACGGTGCCACTTCCAATGATTCTTCCTTTGTTGTTGTCACCAAAAACGACATTGCCACCTTTGAAATACTCTAAACTCCTAAATTTGGATGCGTCTCCGGTCATGTGCTTGGAGCATCCGCTATCGAGATAGAAAGAGGTACTCGAAGCCTTCAAGCACACCTACAAAAAGATATCAAGGAGACGGTTTTGGTACCCATGTATTGTTGGGTCCTTTTTGGTTAGCATATGTGCGATGTGTGTGCGTTTGTTGAAAATGCCTAATTTTGGTGAAGCACACGGGTGCAATGTGACCTATCTTATTGCAATAGTGGCAAATAACATTTAGATTATTCATCCTATATGGTTGAGTGTAATGAGTTCTAGGTTTTCTAGGATGTGCTTTTCTAGTTTGATTATTTATCCTAGCATTTTTATTCCCCCTAGCTTTAACAAATGTTGTTTTTCTAGGTTGGTTTTTCTTATATCCAAGTCCTTCACCATTACTAACTTTTTGCTTAAGTATTTTATCTAAGGTGTTTGAAGCATTATTGAACTTTCCCAATTTGCTCTCTAAACTAG